ATCTGACAATGGTTATTATTATACAGAGCATATACGGCGTGTAATAATATAATAATAAAAATGGCCCGGTGAATAGATGTTTTTGTGTACCGCCGGATTGTGTTAACAAATTTGTAATCCACCTATAATCCCATCGGGTTTTGTAGTAGTCCAGTCTCTTTTTTTTATATATATAAGAACCGTGTAAGCCGCCATTTTACATAACATCTCGTGTAATTATTGTTCAGACAATGTTTTGACAGGTACCCTTGGCTCATGCGATGTCCATTCAAGGGTACGTTAATCGATTGATTTGGACCACTGGTTCATTTCACAACGACGGCGTAGTCTGTAATATATAAGCCACTTCTATTATAATTAATAACAAATTTCATTATCCGTTGACTGTTAATTGTTATATTGATATCAATTTTATGACAAGACTACTACATAATATTATCTATATAACGATATACCTCAATCCCTTCGCATCGATCATTTTTAACCCATTAACTCTATATACCTACGGCCTACCCCTAAATGTATATTGTACATAATATTATAGCTATTTATGAAACATATACATTGTCATAGAATATGATCAATGTACGAATAAGTATTCTTTAAACCGCTTTATGAATTCAGACCGTTTTGTTTAAAAGTATTGTTAGGAAATCTGGATAGGGTGTAACACAATGCTATACTCGATATAGATAATATTGTAAAATAAATTTTAATAAAACAAAAATGTTATTAATTAAACAGCACAGGTGTCTAGCTTAAATTATGATCACGTTCACACAATAAATAAATAAAGTTATCAATAAACATCAACTATAACTATAAAAAAAATTCTCTATTTTACTTACGGAAGTTACTGTTAACTACGTAGATTATAGATGTCACACGATTACACGAACACTAACTTGAAGTTTGAACTCCATATCACAGGGTTATTTCGAAGATAACTGATAAAATATTATTTAATTATAGAATGATGGAATATCAATAAAAAAAAAGATGTACTGATGTACAATATTATAATATATTTTGTGGGTATTCATTTTAGTGATAATGAGAGATCAAATTATAATCACACGTTCGTTGCGGATATGATTTAACTAATGTCATTGTTGAATTGAAACCAACTATTTATAAAAGAACCTAATTCACCTATTATTATTTAGTTGTTAGTTGTTATATACAAATGTTATATACTTACCTAATCAAAACACTTGTCAGAACTATTTTACTTGTATCAAACATTTTTAAGTCTTCGAATTTTACTGTGCAAAGTTGTAGTTTTTGACACGAAAGCAAAATATCCAACCTATTTATTTAAAACAAGAAATAATGTAATTTAATATCAAGTTGTGGTAAACTATATGTCGCTGTTATAAGATCTCACACAACATATTTAATGAATAGTAATAATTATAAAAAAAAAAATCATGAAGAAATTCAATAAATAATTTTACATAAGTAACCTAACCTAACCTGTACACACACCGCATTATCAATAAACAAAATTCTACGTATGCCTATATACTATATAGGTATGTGAAATAGGAACCTATATATTATAGCAATTATAATCAATGATGATCCAAGCTATATAATATATCATGTCCAATGTCTACTTTTAAACACAATCTTCGGTAGAAATAAATAATTTCTGGTTTCAATCCCATAATAGTCAATCATACATAAAGTGTAGTGCTCTTATAATTTATAAAATTATTATTAATTATGTGGGCTTTATAAGGCCTAGATCCGATTAAAATCATATATCTACCTTTAATATATTGAGCTGAAGTGAAAAGTCGATGACTGATCCCTCGAAGACATATAACCAGCGGGTGCCGATAGATAACTCGGTATCAGTGGTGCACACGGGGGTACAAAATGCTTGGCATCATATTAATATGTCATTTCGAGAAATTGATCTATTATTAGCACGACTTCTTCCGAAAATAAAATATGTGAGCGCTATTGCGTCCAGCATACAAATATGACGCCTTGAGTGTACTGGATAAGAGTCGTACCTACCTATATGCGGTTTATGGTATAGATATATTTTTACCTACCTCCGCAGTGTGGAATCGATATTGTGTTTGAAGAAATCGTGACAACAATCGACCGTGTATAGTGAATAATATGTAATATAATTGTCGGATATTGTATATTGTATACACGGATAATATTGTTATGTAGGTACCCACTTGTTTATCGCGTCGGTGCCGTAGACACTCGACACCAGCTGCAGGGTCGTCCAAAACGATTGTGTATAGGTAGTATATATAGGTACAGCGAAAGGATTGACCGATACCGCTCGCTTGGAATCGTTGTATCATTGTATCATATATATAATAAATAATAATGAATGGCAACTGTGCGGGGGCGTTCTGTGGCAGAGTTTGCGACGTGGCGAAACCAGCGCACCTGTTCGTTAAAATCCCCGCCGCCACCGTTCGTTATAATAATACGGTCATATCAATGTGACTGCCGCCGCTTTCTATATATAATATAATAGTGTTACAATTCCAAAACTGTTAAACGTCGTTATATTATATTAGGTACGGATACATTATATTATTACCTATATAGGTTTATAGCCAGATCTTCCTCCTCCTCCTCTTCCTCCTCGTCGTTGTCATCATCTCATCCGCCCCTTAAGCAACGGCAATTCACCGCGCGACGTGTTGTTCGGTCAGACATGAAAGGCAGTTACACAAATGCGGTCGAGTTGTTTGAAGTGTGTATTCCGACGACACGTTATTATATACGGTCAAACGCCGTGCCGCCGTCATCGAAATCATTATTGTACGATACCTATTTTATTGCCTGTATAGTTTATATTTTATAAGCATTATAGGCGAATGCATGTCCTATGATCCAAATAAATATGCAGAAATAGTACTGTAACACTATTCGTAAATATAATACTATCACGTTTTACTTTTAAAATAATTTTTCATTTAATTTATTATATAATGTTTACAATAATACGATATCCTTAAAATTAATGAATTACACTTTTTAAAGTATATAATACATTAAATAGCATGAAAAAACCCTATTTTGGTCAAAGTTATGAACACTTTATATCCGGATATAGACTAAATTTAAATATTAGTTATGTTTTTCATTGACAACATTTTAAGGTTTCTATAATATATTCAGTCATAATCAGCCAAATTATCTTTCAAATACAATATATACACGTGCACGGTAGACATAAAATGGCATATTGCAGTTTTGAATTTATAGCTATTCTATGTAATACCCATATTATATATGCTGCAGATAAGTTCAAATTTTATTTCAAAGACCGTACTTAAATATAAAAACTAGATGACAATTTTCAAATAATATATTGTATCAATAGTACAGACTCGTTTTACTTTTCATACACTTTATGACTATATATTTACACCTATATAACTTTATATAACCATATAACTATATAAGTGACCACGAATGACTGCAGGCTGACCGGTGAACGTTATTTTTTAATCAAAATAAAATATCCCTGCGAGCATCTGCATCAAGCATAATATACAATTGAAAAAGTTTTGAGTGCTGCGGGTTTCTATATATATACCTAGATATGACATTTATACGTACCTATATAAATTGTACGAAATGCAATTTAGAATTTGACGCCTTTCCCGTTGATCGCGTGTAGATATAGGTACATATTCAGCTATATTATACTATGTGTCTATATGTAATATGTATTCTAGATCATGTCCATCATGTGTAATATTATAATAATATAAACATACATCGCTTGTAATCAACGTCAACGTAATGGATGTGCGTCGCGTATCGTGTTTTATGATTATTATTATTATTTTGTTGTTTTTTTTTTTGTTGTTGTTTGTTTTTGTCACGGACGTTATATTATTATATTAATAAACGACGCATACCGCAAAGGGTGGCTGGTCGGACCGTGGAGGGTTGGACGGCCGGACGTCCGGACATCGAGGCGCAAAAAAATATATAAAAGCCACTCGGTCGGCCGCTACGAGGGCCGTCACCGCGGACGGTCAAGCGTTTTCCCCGGGGCGGGCGGACCGCGTACAACGTGTAAACCGCAGCGTAATGATCTGTTTGACCCTCTCGTCCGCGGGGACCGATTACACGATGTTTCCGGCGACGGCGGACGACGACCGCTGCTGCCGTTTAATCGCCGCTTAAAAGCCGTCTACCGAGTGAGCAACAGCGTATTTTAATAAATATATATTATGTATATGTTAATACCTATACAACATAGCACTATATATAGCTGGTATAAGTCGCGGGGTGGTAATGTGGGAAGTTGCACGATATATTTTTATAAAGAATACCTAATATCCTTATAGCCTTATATTATATTTTATAATCTGTAAACATATACCTTGATACTTTCGATAAACGAATTCTGTATGCCGTACTGGCTAATATAGTCAATAGACAACTGTAGGATCGTAGATACCTACTTGCCAATGTGGCTATGTAGGAAGTTGGTGTCACCTATTGAAGATATGAAATAATACGGTGCTGTATTGAGTTCTATATAGTATAGATAAGTACTACCTATACCTGTTGATTCGAATGACATATATGCAAGGTATCATTCTATATACGATTCTACCAAATTATCGACGCAAATCAATCGTCATTTTTGAGCAACCTATAGCAGGGTTAATATATAATATTTGGTATAGATATCTATATGTTAGGTCTAAAATAACTATATAATATATATACATACCAAATTAGCCTAACCATTTGTAATATGTTATTACATGCGCGTGAATGTTAATTCTATGTCGATTATCGTCCACTTATTGATATACTGCAACAGTTCAACATACCTACAAAATATTTTTTTATTATACCTATGTTGCCGTGCCCCGACTGCGATCAAACTGCACACTCCCTTGTGTAAACGCTCCAATTAAGTACTATAATAATATGATGTATTATACACACCACACATAACTCTTAAACCATATGATTTTCTTTGATTTCAGTTGGTAACACTGCTGATTACGATGGTAGGATTATTGCAACGCGTGAATTAGACTTGGGTACGAAAATTAATAATTAACACACTGAATACTATACAATAATAATATACATAATATATGATAAACACAGAATAAAAATTGTACAGAAGTGATGGTCGATTTACTGCTCGACTTTATATATAGAACAAGCTCCCAAACTAACACAGCATTAAGCTTTTATTTCAAACATATATCATATTATGTATACAATTTAAATGTCACTTCTGCTATACTTTTTATCCTGGTTAAAATTATTATATATTATATTTTTAAGTAAACGTTACAGTGTTGCCAACTGTTTACCTCTGGTAGAGCTGAGCGTACTACTGTTGTTAAAAAATTATAATGTCCTATTTACACGATTTTTTTTTAATTTCTTGTAGGGCACAGTGGCGTTAATCAACTTGGCGGAGTTTTCGTTGGTGGCAGACCGTTACCAGACTCGACACGACAGAAGATCGTCGAACTAGCCCATTCTGGAGCCAGACCCTGTGACATATCGAGAATCCTACAGGTATCCAATGGATGCGTGTCAAAAATCTTAGGAAGGCAAGTATTATTTTAAATTGTATCCATATTACCTAAATTACATTATAAAACAACATAGTTTAGGGACACTAAAATGCAAAAAGGTACTCGTATATAATACATATAATATTACACAGGTACAATAGGTATATGTCATATTTTAACATTAAATGTCTCTCAAAACATAGAGCTTAAAAGTCAAATGATAAAACTAATATAAAATCCTATATGTACTATTTTACCTAATAATACGTCCTTAATTACATAAACTATTTAGCATTGATTTTAAATGAAAAATTTTATTTTATTTTAACACAATAATAAAGTGTAATCTATATTTACGAATCGGTTATCATTCATAATATTAGTTGAATAAAACTATAGATACATATTATTATGAATCAGCTGTAAAAATTTCAATGGATTCTATAAAAATATGTTATCAAATGTTTGAAAAATATCCATACGACACCACAATCAACAAAATACTATGATGATATTATTTATATGATTGCGAATATAACATAATATTAATTATTAACTATTATTGATTATAATATAATATTAAAACCGTTAATTATATATTTCTATTACAGGTATTACGAGACCGGCTCTATCAGGCCCAGAGCGATTGGTGGTTCGAAGCCCAGGGTAGCTACAGCTGAAGTGGTGTCTAAGATATCTCAATACAAACGCGAATGTCCGTCCATATTCGCTTGGGAAATTCGTGATCGGCTGCTACAAGAAGGCGTGTGTTCTAACGACAACATACCTAGCGTGAGTAAATTGTTCAAAATCGGCCAAATTTACGTCGAAATAATTACTCTGAAACTTTAATTGAACCGTGATAGCCCCCATTTATTTGACAATCACATATATATTATATATATATTATGAGCGCGCGTTGTTATTAATATTAAATATCTAGATAAATATATTATGTGGTACACCTATCAAACAATCCACGAGCAGACCATTTCCGCGGTTGTAACATGGTTGCCCTTCAACAATATTATACTTTTAAATTTACAGATGAAAAAATGCTTTTGTTGGTTGGTCAGAACAAATACGGAGTACCTATAATAATGTTATGTCGATTTTAAATCCTATTAAAATATATATATTATATACACGTAATATTTTTTGAGTTTGACGTGTGCGTGGGTGTGACCGCGGCCTCGGCGGTGGTGACCGAGGAAAGGGAGACACAAATCAGATTTCTTACGCATCACCGGATCGCGCCTCTCCCAATCAATGTCAACAACGCGCGTCGCCGCCGATCGTGTGTTTTACACACGCACGCGGCACGCCGTACCTATTTACGAAAGAAAAAAAACAAACAAAAGAATACAAATCGAGTATATACACTGCGTAATACCTACATCGTATTTGAAAAATCATTTTTCTCCCCCGCCATCCAATATATTATACTATATTTACATAACATCACATCAAAGACGCAATTTGTTTTATTTTTACATTTAAATTACGATTATTTGCGCAACCGATTTAAAACATTTACCAAAATCTAAATACTAACATAATCATACTGTATCTTATTGTGATTTATCGTAGAATATTTCAGAGCATGTAGATTGTAGGTAGGTTACGACTACTTGCTATATGGAATACCGAGTATATTTCAAGAATATGTTATAAGTAATAAATATACCTATACCCAAGAATACAAGATCAACATCATTTAATGACGTTTGTTTTTTTTCTTAATTTTTCCAATTTCATACACTTTTTTCATAAATTTTCTTTTTTTCCTACTGTAATACTGCAGTACGAATGACTATTAGGTATATAGTTGTATGAAATGTTAGTTGATTAGGTATACCAGAAAACATTAAAAAAGAAACATTTTCCCAAAAAATATACTTTTTACCATTTTTTTCAAACTTTTCAAACTTTTACTAATAAAAATATGTATTTTTAATTCTTTATTGCAAAGTGAAACTTTTTTTACAGTTCTTCGATGTATATATGATCAAAATTTGTACGATTAACTTATGAGTTATAAGTAGGTATTCTAAGTTTTTATCAGTGGAGTGGAGCGGTACAGACATACTACTCAAAATGTCTGCCCACTACTCTAGTCATCTAACCCTTAAAGTTTAAATACTTATAACTAATAAGCTACATGTCCGAAAATCGATATTTATATAGATCGAAATATTCCGAATATTATTCTACTCCAAACTTTGAAATTAAAAATATATGCTGTCATTCAAAAGAGTAAAAACTTAAAAAATTATATCGATAAGTGATAACTATACATTTTTTCCAAAATGTTTTTGATAGTAACCATTAGAAATTAAGAAACAACACAACACCTTCATTTGACATTTAAAGCCGTTTCAGTGTGAAACATTTTCCGATGTTTTTCAGTACTTACCTACCTTCCGAATAAAATGTTTTGGTGTTTTTTCATGAGAAATTTAGAAACTGCTGTCTCCTTAATTAAATTATTAAATTATTAAATTATTCATTACTACGGACTAAAGAGTTTAAATGTGATAAAAATGCATTTTTTTTCAATAAAATGTTTAAACATTGCATTTGTTTCTTTTATTTGTTGTAATATGACATATTAAAATACAATCGTCTCGACCGTAAAGAAGAAAATAAAAATGTAATATATTAATATGTACATTATCATCTAGTCAAAATCGTTGACGCCAACATCAATGCTCGGAAAACAATTTCAATTATTAAACAATATGTAATATTAGATTATTAGATTACACATTTATACACACTATGGGAATTAAAATAAAAGGCCACCACATTATAAAAGTTGCGCAGGTACCTGAAGTATTATACATATAGTGTATACAATAAACTTATATACATATGTGCATAAATACATGCATATTATATTTTATACTTATAACATAAATTAAATGTTTCTTAAGATATCAGGGGTGTTCAGTGTACTACATAGACTATAGAGTACACACCATGCATACCGTGCACACTGAAAAAGTATGTAACCATTATGCATATAGCATTATTGCTTTAATAAGTGTAGGATTATCAATTATTATACAAATATCATGAATTATCTACAATTCGACGAGTAGGCGCTTAAACTTAAAAAATCGTAAAATTACTAGTATAATATTTCTCAACGCTATTTAATACTTGAATATGTGAAAATATGACCCACTTTTTCTTTTAAAAAGTATTTATTTCATTTACCTACAACAATTTTCTCTTGTTTTAAATTGTTGAATAATTTACCTGTATTATACTCTGATAATTGATGCATTCAAAATTCAAAGCCATTTATAATATGTGTGCCTACTTTTTGTTCCAAATGATTACTGATGTGACTGCCTATCATTTTTTATTATTTATTAATTCATATAATTATATATAACTATATATAGTTATTATTATCATAAGTCAAACAGATTTAGCATAAAAAGATACAGCGTAAAATATTTAAAATCAGATCTATCCTGTATCCAGATCCCAGAACGATACAGCCAAATCCTCTGCTACAGACTTAACCACTAATCACTGCGTTGGTAATCCACCTCGCCGCCCAAAAAGCTGACGATGCCTCATCAGTCATCTTAATTTAACGTTATATAATTATGTAAATCGACTTCCGGAATTCCATTACAGGAATGTTTTTCTTCTCTGGCGTGAGCCTTAGTTAACTTATATAGTATACAGTCGACTCTCGATAATTCGAAACTTTCAATTTGCATAGTAGGTAGGTACAATATTTATTATTCATGTATATTTTTCTCGGTTAAAAGAAAAAATATTGAATTACTAATATTTCTTAGACCCTCAAACTACAACCGACCGCGTACCTATATTGTCCACAGTAATATAACATTTAGGCCCACACAAAACCCGCCGTCAAACGTGCAACGACGACGACGTCGACGAGAATATAATAAAATAATAATATTATACAAGCGCGGTGAGACGAGGGCAACGGCGGGCAAAACAACGCCGACGCGCCACCGCTTTCCCATCGTCGCGAGTGTATACTGTACACCGTGGCTAGCAGGACGGGCGGTAACGCATATTTTCCACGCCTCGGCAGCTCCCCGAACAAACAAGTCAGCCCGCCTTAACGTCACGGCCGCCGCCGCCGCCGTCGCACACCGCACGCAGCACCTCATCGTCGCGTCCCCGGGGCACGTTTAATAAGCAACAGCAGCAGTCGTCCGACGACGAGTGTGTATACTTTAGATAATTTAATAATATTATGTTTATTGTAACACTATAATATTATTGTGCAAGAGCAAAAACAATTTTTCCGGACAAATAATAATATTATTGTTGCATTTTCTTTAAAAATCTATTACTTACGATTTTTCCTCGATGTTATCCATCGCTGACAATTATGTCGTTCTTACATTGACATTAACAATAACTGCAGTAAACGCACCGAACGTTTCTCAAACATATACATACGGGAATGGATGTATAATAGGTTTATATTGAATTCGCCAGCTTTTAACGAACATTACGACAGTGCTGCAGTTTGCTGCGGAAATGGATCGAAAACAATAATATTATATTTTCACATAGCCGCGCACACACGCACATAATAATATTGTATTCCGAAAACCTCAACAGATCAAAGAAATTATCGCCCGGTTTCGCATATAACGTATTCGCGGTGGACTTCATACAAATCTCCGCTCGTCAACAAACCGTCAATCGCGCGCGGACTATGTACGAAACGGTGTCGGCAAATCCGTCTCATAAACGGCCGTATTCCTACGGTTCACCCCCCATTACACGTATATTATTGTGATGTAAAGCGATTTTAATTGTCCGTTTCCCCCGATTTGTGGGAATTCGAAAATATTTTGACATTTCTACTTCCTGGAAGCGCAGTGCGTCCGATTTCTCACACGCGTATGTGTATACATATAATATGTGTGTAAATATTGCTGCAGCAGCAGTGTACACAAACACACACGTCTACGATCGGGTCCACCAGACGCGAACATAATAATAAATAATATATAATAATATAATGCGTAAAGGAACAAAAAAATAATAATAATAAATATTATCCCCGTTTTCAAAATAATGTATAAATACACACATATACACCTATATATAGATGCGTGCTGCAGAGAGCAATTACAAATGTCTTTTATGCCGGTGAACTCCGGGAGTCATTTGTTCCACAGCGTGTCCATTGTTCGACTGTTATGTCGCTGATGATGGAGAGAGATAATGTCCCTTTTTGAATAGCGAACTATTGTTTTTTTTCCTCCTGTACAAAAATAAAAATAGGAAAAAATTCTTTTTTCTTTTTCCCGATTTTTTTTTTTTTTTTGTAGTCGTTTCAGTGTTTTAATTTCCTACTGAGAAAGTATTATGCAGCATACATTTTTCCCGTATCGTGAATTCAAATCCAATCAGATATAGAACAATCCCTACAGCATATATATATATTGCGAAGATGACGAAGACATTCCGACTGTCCCTTTCCATCCCATCGAGTCCCTTCTGCAATGATCCAAATGCCAAAGATTATCCCAAATTGACATTTATATTTTAAATGAGAAAAACAATAAACGGTGCTCAATAGGGTTGTGTGTTTTCCAATGTAAGTTTTCATCATACATCGACATACCAACTTACCATTATTAATAACACAGACTTTCATTGCATAAATATTATTATTATTTTAATATTTTAATTTCCGTCTAGATATTTGAAACGTACTTACTATAAAATGTTGACCCTGAAACTGAAATTAATCTTCATTAATTATTTTTTTTTTTTTTTTATTGATCTTAAGCTTCGGCAACTGAGGCCATTAGCTGTAGTAGGATTTGTATTGTAGGTTTGTTTGTATTGTATATTTTGGGACGGTAGGGGGGAACACGTGTGTGTTTGTTTTTGGCAGAATTTCGAATGGGGCCCCCTTAGGTTTCTGCCATGCCCCAGGGGTGGGGGATGGCAGCACTTGTTCTCCGGTCACCGCGACTTGTCCGGAGAAATTGTTCTCACTTATAATGAGAACAATAATTTATTTAAAATTATTTATAATTTTCACTTATTTTATCACTATACTTTATAGTTTAAAATAACTAAAATAACATATCGAAATTTAATTTTCACCTAGTTTATGGCTTATTATATTTTTTTTATTTAAGAAACTTAAACAGGTATTAAATACACTGCAGTATATTACACAACGAATACATTTAATAATCGTTACATATTTGATATTTGTTACACATTTGCATCATATTATTATAATTATTAATGTATTATTGTTTTGTGGATTTTCTCACATTTTAGGTTTTAATGTATTATATTTTCATATATTATCCTTGATTGTGTCTGCAGCTGGTTTATTGCAAAATTCGTTACCAATACTAGTACAACATGAATTGTTAAATGTATAAAAACATTTATTTACCCAAACCCTATTTCCAGTGTAGTGACTTAACGCATCGTATGAATACATAAATTTACATTAAATAAGGGACTCAAGATTGAGTTTTAAATTAATAAAAACTCTCAAAAATGTGCACTACTTATCACGTTTATACAGAGAAATATATATAGAGGCTTACTTCTGCGTGGACTCTAGCCTATATCATAAAACTTAAAAACTAATCAAAATCAAGTATTAAAATGTTTAATTAATAACTCATATACGAGTGTACTTCATATTATTTTATAAGTTATTTCAAAAACAAATCACATAATTAAACAGTATAAATTAAAATAGCGTGTTTCTATGTATGATAATGGATACGTATTTCAAAGTTTACGTGGCGGACGTATTAAAATATTTTATTTACAATTTCAGGGGGGGGGGTTGTATGTATATTATTATTTACACGTTTTTAGAAAAATCCTGATGATTGATTATGCGTACGACTGGTACGCGGTACCTATCTATAATAGATGTTAATATGTTATAATATAGGTACCTATGTACCTTACTAGCTGAATTATGGCGTAGTTCAGTGTATTTTACGCACAGAGTGGCTTAGTATAACACGAATAATATCAAACGCGGAAAAAGAAAAATCTATTTTATATAATACGGAGAAAGCGAGAGACGGAGTAGAGAGAAAAAATCAGAAACCGACGGCAACGCGCCGTGTACTCTGTGTGTGTGTGTGTGTGTGTGTGTGTGTGTGTGTGTGTGTGTGTATATATATAGTATGTATATCGTGTGTATATATATATATATATATATATATGATTGTGCAGATATAAAAACGGGAGGGAATGCGTAATCAAAGTGTGAAAAACCCCAAAGTTTTTCCGGCGTCAACGGCGACATTAGGCGACACCCTTCGGGACAGCGCGCGTATATATATACATCTACGGGGTGTTGTACGTGCAAGTCAGAGAGAAAGAGAGAGAGAGAGAGAGAGAGAGAGAGAGAGCTCCGACAAACAAAACTCATGCATTATGGATTCGTCGGCCGCGCGACACATCAAGACTCGCGCAAAACCCTTCGACTCGAAGCCGCCGCCGTGATACGCGCGAGTCTCTCTTTCTCTCACACTCACACACACACACACACACACGCACAAGCTATATGTATCGTGTCAATATATATATATATAACGGCGCGGCTCGGTGCTGCCGATTTATAATATAAATGCGTGTGTGCGTACTCGCCCTGCCACTTTTGTACGGACCCTGCGCCGTATAAATCGTCTGGGTAGAAATGAAGAAAAAATATAACCGCGACGACAATACAATCGACGGCTGCGGAAATGTATTCCGGTCGGAAATTCGTGGTTATATACTTCGCCACGACCGGCACAAAGGACCTCCGCCTCCGCCGCGGTCGCCGCCACGCAGAGAAAAAATACCAAGCATACTATACACATAGATACAGAGGAATAAAAAATAGGATTTATGGTTGAATGTAGTATATTTTTTATATATTAATATATATATATTATATTTTATATATATATACACACCGAATGACGATGGCGGTCGGTCCCTGGGTGTCGGGCGCGCGCGCAAGACAATGGCGACGCCAGTCTGAGCGCATTAAATTGATTGGAAATTATTTTTTGACAATTTTCGGAATCATTATGGTTCGCCCACTCATCTGCTGCAGCTATAGATAGCCGCACTACAGGAACACCGCTGTTCGAACATCGCACGTTTTGCAGAGTGTTTGACGTGTATGTCGCGTCGAGCTGAATTGCCAAAAAAAATATATCAATAATTCACCAGTCACATCACTCGTATATACATATACACCAAATCATATATATATATACCAATAACTGGCTATCATATATAGTCATTTTAACTTTGTGTTACATTATTGGCTGAGAATGAATTCGATTTTAGTGTTCTTATACAATATAGGATTATAAGATTATATTACATAATCCTCGTCAGACATAAACGTGGCCAACAGCTTAAATAATAAATGGCATTGTGCAATGTACATACTATTAAACTTAATAACGCAATAATATCGAATATTAAACTTCCTTCTTATTAGCTACCTATACATATTATAATATGATAATGACATGCATGTAATTAAATTGTAAATATGCAATAATGAACATTTGAGATCATAAGCGTTTTCGACGTCTAAAAAACTAACACAGTGCAGATTCGTGCAGATTTGAGCGGTTTTACGATAAAATCCTATAGGCTCAAGGTTCGTGTAGGTAAGGTACTCCGTATGAGCTTTTTATCATGAAACTCGTGAAACGTAGACAATATATATATTTTATACAGGGTTACCCAAATTGTGCATTACAAATTTAGAGGACATTCCGCATGAGGAGAAACAAATTAATTTATGATGTGATCCTCCGCTTATTTCTTAACGAAAAATTTGCAAGACGATCCCGCCGTATGCGCCTACACAGTGCCTACATTATTAATATACACACATATATATATATATATATATATATGTATATATGTATATATGACAGTGATGTAAAAATATTATAAATAATTCAGTAATTCACGATCTTTATTAATCCGTATACAGGTGTCTTCAATCAACCGCGTGTTACGCAATTTGGCGGCGCAAAAGGACCAGCAAACACCGGCGTCCGTGTCGCCGACTTGCAGCAGCACGGACGCCGTGTACGACAAGCTGAGACTGTTGAACGGTCAGGCGGCGGCGGCCGGCTCATGGCCCAGACCCAATCCTTGGTGAGTATTATTATGATAATAATAATAATAATAATAATAATATATGTATAATATTGTGTTATATTATATATACGCACGTATATAATATAATATACGAGTATGTATAGTGTATACACTATATATATATATATATATATATACATAGGTGATCGTGCGGATGACCGCACACGCGTTTACGTGTCATCAATAATGATAGTAATGTACTTTATACTGACGCGCACTGTCGTTATTTGTTTTGTCTTTTATTTGTATATATATAGGTACCCACCAGCATCTGGCGATAACCCGTTCGGTCCGCTGCAACCGACCGGCCGACTGAGTCCGAACGCCGCCAATTGTACCGTCTTGCCCGACATACTCGACAAAAAAGGTAAAACGTCAACGATATTTATGATGTGTACATTTAGTAGCATTAAACTGTTGTGCTTTAATTAGTTTTCTTTCATGAGTGCTTTTACTTATAAAGTTTATACGCGTATAGACACGCCGACAATAGGATTTTCATAAAAAATTATATTTATGAATTTATAATACATAATATAGTATTGCATATTATAATAATGCATTTATAATGGTTATCCAGTGCAGTCTAAGAATCCAACACTGTCGTATTAACATGTATAATATGCAGCTGCTACATCGAGATACAATAATACAATAATAATACTGCCACTATTTTACTTAATACTAATAAAATATGATAATGACGTATTACTCAAATAAAACAATGATTATATTGTGCGTAACATAATATTATGATGGCATAAATAAAATATATAAAATACACCTAAATTGTGTATTTCTTCGTCTGAAATTGTATTCAAAAATCATGTTTTCAAATAATAATAATATCATTGTACGCAATAAAAATAATTAACCGCAAAAAAAAACTAAATAATAATTATACGACAATACGACATTACTTAAAAATCTGCGAAAACAATTTAATACATCATGTTCATTTATTCTACATTCACGGCTATTATGGTCGTGTACGTAGGTACATGATACATAATACATATTATTATATATCATGTACTTACAATCGCAGTGTATGTTAATTAAACCACAACGACTCGTCCACGAGTTCATACATATTGATAAAACAATTTTAAATGATTTTTGTTATAGAACAGGCCAGCAGTAGGTACTTAAATAGTATATACGTGCCTATGGCTAATGCATACATATATATATATAGTAAACAGGAATCTTCATTTCACCATATCCTGTGGGCGGGGTCACTGCGATGATAATATTGGGGTTATACAAGGGGGCTACCGACGCACGCCACCGTGCCTTTCTATGTACGTAAAATTCCCCAGTCGGTATTTATTTTTTTTGTTTTTTATTTTTATTCTACTCGGCTCACGCGCGCATATATGGATATGCGCACGCGGTTGGTTTGGATATATTAAAAAAAAAAAAGAACCTATACCGGCTCCACAGTGAAACAAGAAAATATTGTATCAAAGCGAAAACGGAACCGTGGACGGGCAGAGGGGTTATTATATTTAGATAAAGGGATCGCCGGCGGACGGGTGTGCGGTAGTATTACCGCAAAAAGGGTTTTCGGGCTCCTCCAAACGGTAACCATATTAAATTTTGCTATAGCGCGGAATTCCGGTTTCAGCGTCGAAACAATATGCGTACGTATATATACGCTGCAAATAAACGGCGGAATGCCAGCAGCCGGGCGGCCATTGCGCACCACGGCAGCGGTGGCGCCCCGAAATTTTGCACATATATATATATATATATACGTAATATAAGAGAGATAATGTTACAAGCTCGAAATAATATCTTGCCACGTGTACGAGATACATATTGTATTATTTTATTATAATAATATAAATATATATAATATCGTTATTACTATATACACCCTATGCTTTCGGGAAACGTTTTGAAAAATGCCTGCAGACATTACAAATTATATTATATTAAACATTTAAAACTATTCCATAACTTTGTTCTGTGTAATGTTAACAAAATATAGGTATTATGTGTGTAAACACATGAATTCGAAAATAAAATATTATACTTTATAGACAGCTTATTTATATTGAAAAATACCCACTATACCACAATATATAACACAGTCTTAGAAACAATTACAACTATGAAAGTCCTTGCAAGTTGCAATTTACTTGTATTTAAGTAATCAGACAAAAAACAAATCTATCTAGAATTTACAGTTCACATATAATTTAAATTCACTCCCTCTGAACTGGCTCAAAAATAGTGATAGGTATATTTAAATTATTCATTAATTGTTCATGTGACTATATATACAACCATCGATGTGGTATTCTGTAGAGTCATGTTTAGAGCGTGTAAAGCACCCTTAACTACGTTAAGTTACTGAGTCCTCATGCGTGAAATAGGTATAGTGGTATAGCCGGTATAGGTATATAGTTGTATATTTTGTTAAACCATACAATATTATATACATATACGTGATAAACTTATTATTAGGTACAAAATACAAACATAAATACTTCAAAACTATCGAAGCGCAATAGTGGTAGCCAGTAGGTAATATTTCAAAAAGGAAAAAAAATATTTGAAAAGTTGTTATATCAACTATACGCCGGTCGAGAGCAGATAGAATCCTTATAAAGTATATATTTATTATTTACTTGTATACGTCTTATACATATTTACCAGTATATATAGGCGCAAGGTGTGGGTATACCTACGTATAACATAATATACCTACTGGTATTGTATAGCCACATATGGGCATATAATATATATAGGTATAAGGTAGGTTATGGCGTAGGTATATATTATGTATATATTATATTTTACACCGTGCAGGTAACTATACACTAAGGTGCTTTGCGGCACAGGCCATTTTGATTGCGCGTGATGTATCTTATTTTTCTCGTTGTTCGCGGCGGTAAATAACACGCGGATGAATATAAAGACCGGGTGCTCACGTCCGTGTATGTATACATTATATCGAATAATATATTATGAATATAACGTATATTATGTACATAATATAGCCACCGTGTTATATTATATTAATATGCGGACCCCGCGGTATTGAATTGACGACGCGGTCTATCCTTCTCTCCCTCCGTGTATACCTCCGAAACTCTCACTCTGGCATATGCACTTATGTATTTTCAAAAACCCACCGACGTCCATTTAGCCGTAAATAATTTGCTTTGAGCCCTTCGCATGACGTGCGTGTGCCGCGCGCAGCTGAACGAATGACGTGTTATCATCGCGGTCCTTCGTCGGTTTCACGCACCTCCTTTCTTATGTACTTATTATATATTATATAAAAAAAAAAAACATAGCGAATGTCATTTGTATTATTAGGTATTATTCTCGGTAAAAAAATGTAAAACTTTAAAATATGCGAATGCAAAAACGCACGTGAGCTATAACGCTGGCGTGTAACCTGCATATAATATATCAATCTTCATTTTACCCAAAAATCATATTGAATTAATATTTATTGTAAAGGGGATCCGTGCCACTATAGGATTTCGATACGGTTTGTATTTCAAAAGGTATATAAATACACGTGTAAACGTGTTATGAGATACACTAATACCGGTATTTAGTAATATTGTGGTATTTAATTAAATCCTGCATGGGGATTACTACTGCAGCAAAGTTTGAAAATGCGATCATGCTTAACGCATTGAACCGTTATTACTCGTAATTTTTTGTGTTAGGTTCGGAATTTAGTATTATAGCTTTCAGTGCTTCCCCGTATAAAGTCTTTCATACACATTGACATTATCCCAAACTTTTGTAGAATGGGTATAGTATAGACATTTATTAAATTGTATACTACTAATTATAATATATAATATTCCAACAAGATTTTACCATTCCAAACTTAGGCCTCAGACGTATAAATTATATACTAAATACACATTACAGATTAAACACACTTATACATGGCCGTGGTTAAATATTTATACATACTAAAAAAACTGTTAAACACCCATACGTTTGTTCATTCATAATTAGTGAAATTATATATTCTAATAACTTCAACATTTGTAAAAAAAATAACTTTACAATTCTTAACATTTTAATAATTGTATATTGTTTAATTTCAAATAATAGTGTTGAATTCAAATAAAAATTATTTTATTTTATTGTTTAAATCATTGTTCAATGTTGAAAGATAACAATAAAAAGCATTACCCACGTTATATTTTTTTATTTAAATTTATATTAGTTTTTTAATGCTATTAAACACTACAATAAAAAATGAGTGGTCAAATTATTATTGTATTCGACGCCAATAACAATAACAAAACCCTCAAGCTAATTACTAAATTACCTAAGAAAATCCATAAATAAACTATAGAAACAATTCAATTAACAATTTTGATTAAACAAGAATATTTTAAGAAAATAATAATATATACCCTATATGCATTTACATGCTCAAAATCTCATACATGCAAAAACAAATACATAGGTTGACAGCACTAGTAAAATAATTTAAAAATATTTTAGTAGAGTTTTAACATTAGTTTCTATGAATTTTACAGTACATAAAACATTCACCTAAAGTACCAAAAAACACATGGGAATTCACTAATTAAAGTAATTATTGTAAAAATATTAATTGTACACATGTATTATAATACTATAATACTAAAATTCAGCATTTAAAATCTTTCATATAACGTGATATATTAAAAAGGGTTTGTTACTTCAACAAATCAGTAGTCTGTTAAAGTTTATAAAGCGTGTTTATGAACCAAGGAATTACTGTTCTTAGCATTTACTTGAGATTTTATAGCTGAAGAGATAATTGTGTTCTGACGTGTTTATTCGCAAACTTTAATAATATCAACAACAGCTCATGTTTTTAATAACGGAAACTTTGGTAGTCAACAACTTTTAGTGACGATTTAAGTTGATTAGACTTAACTATACTTAAAAAAAATATAAACCACCTAACATAATTCTAGTCTACATCAATAGCAGGTTTTCGTCCCACACTTTTAACGATTAATTATAAATTATATTATGCCAATATAAATTAAACTTGTACGTACTTTTAATTATATTTAATTTTGAATCTAATATTTAGTAGTACTTAGTGCTTACTTAAAAGGTGTATCGCCTTGGTTAGTACCTCCAACTCCTAAAATATCACTTATCACTTATTAGACAAATTTTAAGTCATGCTTACTGATATAGTAATTAAATTAAGTAAGAAAATATATGATTGACAAACAATAATTATTAAACTTTAATAGCGTAGTACCTTCAGATATATATGTATGCAATAGGAGGTCTACATGCAACCAAAAGTATAGGCAAATGAATCATAGGTCACGTAAAATACGCACGATAGAAATACGGAAATAGTAAACTCTG